GTAAGATAAAATAATTCTAACAGGAATTTTCTCAATATTTCTAATGTTTCTTTTTACTGTCGATGGTAATTAAAAAATCAATTTTCCAAAATTTATTTTTTTTCTAAACTGACACGACACTTGAACGCATTTCGTAATAACTTATTACATTTTCAAAGACTTTAGTTTACACACACAACTGTAATCTCAAAACACTAAACAGAGTTTTACTTATGCTAACACTAAATAACTTATCGATCTTATATACTCGCACTTGGATGAGGTGATATGTTGCAACAGTTTTGGATGAGGTGAATAAACTTTTGACAAACACAAGACAGAACACAGAACAATGGGTATTAATTGGATACATGAGAGCAGAAGAATGGAAGTAACTGCAAAGGGCCTATTTCAGGTTACAGTTGTTACGTCACACAAAATAATTAAATCAAAATGAAAATGAATCAAAATGTATGAAAATTTTTTTTATCAATGCCATAGGGAACATTAGAAACGAATCGTAACATATTTTATATATCGTGCATTGCTCTTACGTGACACAGATGGCACTGTTAAAAAAAAAAACATGTTTTTACCTGTCATAGGTGGGGCATCTAAATAGTAGGTATATAAAAATATACACGTATTCAAATGGAACGTTGTGTCACAATTTCAAAGCAAACGGTGAAGAACTTTCAGAGATTACAGCGTGTGTTGCTCTTACGTTCTACAGATGGCGCAGTTTTTCAGAAAAGGATGTTATTTCTTGTCACAGGTGAGGCATGTATATAGTAGGTATAAAAAAACACTCACCTATTCGAATGCAATGTTGTGTGAAATTTTCAAAGCAATCGATAAAGAGGTCTCGAAGATTTCCCCTCGCATGAAAAACACTCGAAAAATATAGCTTAAAAAAAAAACATGTTTTTTCCCATAACAGACATGACATCTATATATTATTTATATAAAAACTCACTCCGATGCGAATGGAACGTGGTGTGAAACTTTCAAGGCAATTGATGAAGAACTTTAGGAGATTGGCGATTTTAAACAAACGAACATTTCCATTCATATATTTTTAATATATATGTCCGGCTGGGACCACCCTCTAGTGGAAAAAGTAGCTGATGCCATGCTCAGCGTCGCAACATCAGACAAGGAGAAAGCCCGCCTTAGAGCAGTGCGTGCCCCCCATGCAGGAGACTTCCTCCTGGCAGTACCCATGTCAGCAATGGGCACGCGCCTAGATCCAGAATCCCTTCGTGTAGGAGTGGCCCTCCACCTTGGTGCCCCAGTTCACACTGAATACAAGTGTATTTGCAACAGGGTGGAAGCAGACCAATACGGACTGCATGGGTTGCATTGCGGAAGCACAAAGGGCTGGCATGCAAGACACAACGAGATCAATGACATCATCAAGAGAAGCCTCGTCTCAGCTAGGTGCCCAGCGGAGAGAGAACCTCGCATCCTAGGGGTCCAAAGCCCGGATTTCCCCGCACTTCGCGCTGATGGCATCACCATATACTCATGGAAGGAGGGTAGACAGTTAGTGTGGGACTACACATGTGTATCCACCCTGGCTGACACCTATGTACACTTCGGAGCTGATCAAGCAGGTGGGGCGGCCAACCACAGGGAAACAGCTAAATCACTCAAGTACAGGCGACTGGAAGGTCAATACCTCTTTGTTCCCATAGCGTCTGAGAAGCATGGCCCATGGGGCAAGAGTGCCTTCGGATTTCTCAAGAAATTGGGTTCCAAGCTCATTGACGTCACCAGAGACCCAAGGGCTTCCAGTTTTTTGTTTCAGCGTCTCAGTGTGGCGATCCAGAGGGGAAATGCTTGCTGCGTCCTCGGTTCCTGTCCAGAAGTGGAGGAGCTTCAAGAGATCCATAACCTATAGGCATTTGTCTTGTATGTTTTGTAACCTTTAAATACACAATAAAGGAAAAAAAAAGGGAAGTGGGTGGTAGGAGAAAAGCACAGAGAAACTGTATTGGAGGGGACCTACATTCCCTCCAAAGCGTTATGTGTGGTTTCCTCCGAGGCTATGGGTCCCCCTTCTCCCAGCCAGAGGTGGTACTCCCTTCCCTATATATATATATATATATATATATATATATATATATATATATATATATATATATATATATATATATATATATATATATATATATATATATGTCGTACCTAGTAGCCAGAACGCACTTCTCAGCCTACTATGCAAGGCCCGATTTGCCTAATAAGCCAAGTTTTCATGAATTATTTTTTTTTCGACTACCTAACCTAACCTAACCTAACTTTTTCGGCTACCTAACCAAACCTAACCTATGGAGAGAGGTTAGGTTAGGTTAGGTAGGGTCGGTTAGGTTCGGTCATATATCTACGTTAATTTTAACTCCAAAAAAATAAAATTGTCCTCATACATTCTGAAATTGGTAGCTTTATCATTTCATAAGAAAAAAAAATGAGAAAATATATTAATTCAGGAAAACTTGGCTTATTAGGAAAATCCGGCCTTGCATAGTAGGCTGAGAAGTCCGTTCTGGCTACTAGGTACGACATATATATATATATATATATATATATATATATATATATATATATATATATATATATATATATATATATATATATATATATATATATATATATATATATATATATACTATCTCCCACAGTCCCCCCATAAGTATAGGTACCAACTATCTCTCACAGTCCAAACAGATAAGTACCAACTATCTCTCACAGTCCCCACAGATAAGTACCAACTATCTCTCACAGTCCGCACAGATAAGTACCAACTATCTCTCACAGTCCCCACATGAGTATAAGTCACATACACATAAGTCCCACAGACATTGGCTATATGAATTTCGGTACTTCCTCTCTCATTTGTTCAACAAAAGAATAATAGCACTCTCTAACCGTCGCATTCACTACATAACAGTCAATGCTTCTCACGTTCACCTCATGAATACCAGTACTTATTGTCTCATGTTCACCTCATGAATACCAGTACTTATTGTCTCATGTTCACCTCATGAATACCAGTACTTATTGTCTCATGTTTACCTCATGAATACCAGTACTTCTTGTCTCATGTTCACCTCATGAATACCAGTACTTCTTGTCTCACGTTCACCTCATGAATACCAGTACTTCTTGTCTCATGTTCACCTCATGAATACCAGTACTTATTGTCTCATGTTCACCTCATGAATACCAGTACTTCTTGTCTCACGTTCACCTCATGAATACCAGTACTTCTTGTCTCACATTCACCTCATGAATATCAGTTCTTCATGTCTCACGTTAACCTTGCTAATAACTTTACTTATGCTCTCTCATCAACATGAATAACAGTACGTTCTTAAACTCACATTCAGTACATGAATAATCACTTCCATAACATACCGCTCATCACATAAATAACTAAAATACATCCTCTTTTCCACGTATGAAGGAGAAAGCAGTATTTTCGTACTTTCACATTCACGAGTATTGGAACTTCCTCCCTTTTACTTTCTCCGCAAGACTAGAAGTACCTCCCTCCTCACTCGCTTACCACATACATAAATGTTGTAAACTTTCTCTAAAGTTTACAACCGATTTCTTGAAATCATTAAATGATTTCATTAAAGATTTTTTGGGAAATCTGTACAGCGATATCTCTGTGAGCGGGAGGCTGGCTCGTGGCTTCAAAGTGATCTCTAATAAGCTGCAAGGGTTAGAAAAAATGAAGCAGGCATCAGTGTTTTCTGCATTTCTTATAAAGGAAATAATTAACAAAAAACTCTCCAAATAACATTACAAATTTTCCAGGGCTTGACACGTGTTGCTAAAGCTCTCTTTATCTTCTTAATTGCAGTCCTATAAATTCTTAAATTAAAAAGTAGCTGTATCGTTTTACCTTCTTATCTTGTCCTAGAAACTCACCAAATAAGGATAGTGGATTCATATTATTGCCTTCACATTCTGTTCTAGAAACTCATTAGCTTGATATAAAGGCCATCAACTTATCAGGGAGCCTCCGATAAATAAATAAAGAAGCACCTCAAAAACCAGGACACCAGCAGAGCAGACACCTCGTCGTGCTGCAACTTCTGACTCTGCACTAAGTCAAACCACTCACTGGAGAATCACCCGAAAACGTGTCAAATTACGGAGAAGGGGCTTAACGTCACTGTGATGAGAAATCGGCTCAGAAACCACCTGTTGTCACCTGCTCACCATCAACTGAGCAAAGATGGCTCGCCTCCATCATGCTATTTGATCTTAACTTTCTTATATACTCACATTATCACTTGATGCATAGCTAATTTGTACTTCTAAACATCAATATAAGATCACTTATCCTCTCTGCATTTATCCTCAGTGGGCACTTATCCTCTCTGCACTAAGCAAATTACGGTAATTAATGTGCTCTTGCTGCAAATTGCAGGAGTAACGACGCTTGCTTACCCACGTCAAAATGGCGCCTGGAGTTCACCTCTTGCAGATCGTCGACAAATTCTTCGTATGACTGACAATGTCGACTTCTCTAAGTCTTGACTTGAGGTCACCCTTCTCGTCACCACTATACGACACGCACACCACAAGTTGTCATCCCACTGCTCACAACGCTGGTTTACCTCGAAGATTCGCCCAGGTTCTGTTCCTAAACATCCCAATATCCTCTTTCCTCTGGAGCAACGAAGTGCGTGGTTTCCTTTTGACCTCCACACTGGCAAGTGACGTCGCACGTGCTCTGCACACGTCACGCTTCCAGCGATGACGTCATCTTTGAACACGGCACATCACATTCTGTCGACATCTCATCCTGTTCCCATAAAGTTGCTCATATCTGCCTTAATTCCTCTTCTGTAATATCCAACGGAGGTTACTTGTCTTAAATCGTTCATCTGGATCCTCTATAGAACCTGGCGAAAAATAGCTCCCACTTTAGGGCAGAACCTTTATCATTAGGCTACATGGGGTTCACAACATTGGGCAGTGAATGAATGATATTATGCCTACAGGTATTATTCTGGAAGCTCCGAGGAACATGGATGTGGCCACCCTGTCTTCTCTCCCATACGAAGGCGATCTGCTTCATCTGACCATCCACTGTGACCTCACAGATGATGACCCTGACCTCGAACGATGCTGTGACATTATAAGTCAACTTTGTCCTCAATCCAGAGATGGGCACTATAATGACCTGACGTTCATCGGCACTCATCTTACTAGTACGTATAATTTCAGTGTATTATGGAAACACTCAGAACTCCAGGCACTCTCGTTTGGCTTCAAATATCTTTATCACTGTATTATCATACATTGTTGCAGTGCATCTGATGTAATCCAAGACAGAGTTTACCCAACATTACCGTTGACCAATACACAATATTACTCATCGAATATTATATATTCTCATTATTGAGCTTCATGAGTATCCCAGATCACTTCTTAACACAATACAGTTAGAATTAATGCAAGCAACAAGGCTTCTACAGTTAACCTAACCAGAAGCAATGTTCATCTCAGCAAAATGGTTGTTAATATTCGTTAATATATTCCCTGATATTAGTTGTTTGACTTACTTATTTACATGTCGTAATCAGGTGTGGGTTTCACAGTAACTTGATGCTTGCAGGCGAAGGTATTGAGGAGCTGATATTGGAACTTCTCGAGAGGAGAGTCACCGCTGGCGACAACTTCAACATGTACTGTGAAGCAGGTAGCACCCAGGAGCTGGCCACCAGGCATGGTCTCTCCCAGCTCTATATCTACTAGGACGTGGAAAGTGGCCACCTCGCATGGCCTCTCCGACCTCTATATCTTCTAGGATGTGGAAAGTGGCCACCTCGCATGTCCTCTCCGAGCTCTATATCTTCTAGGACGTGGAAAGCATGTAAGTAATTATCACAAGAAGGCACCATGCCGGGAAGACTATGAAGTCATAAGAAGATCAAACAACCCGTTTCTGTTAGCATATATACGAAGTGGAATGTTTTAATCTTTGTTCACAGATTTATCAATTGATTATTATTATACATAGTGTTGTGTAGTTGTCCTTTTCTATCGGTGATGCTGTGTATTGTGATTAGTATAATGAACAAAAAAGTAATATTTAATATTTTTTGAATAATATACATTAACTTTCCTTTACAATAATATTCATATATGAAGCATGGCTGAGGCCTCTGGGCTCATGCCTCTGGGATGATGCCTCCGGGGTTATGCCTCCGGGGTTATGCCTCTGGGCTGATGCCTCCAGGCTGAGGCCTCCAGGCTGATGCCTCCGGACTGATGCCTCCGGGCTGATGCCTCCGGGCTGATGCCTCCGGGCTGATGTCTCTGGGCTGATGCCTCCAGGCTGAGACCTCCGGGATGATGCCTCCAGGCTGATGCCTCTGGGCTGAGACCTACGGGCTGAGGCCTCCAGGCTGAGACCTTGGGGCTGAGGCCTCCGGGATGATGCCTCCGGGCTGAGGCGTCCAGGCTGATGTCTCTGGGATGATGCCTCCGGGCTGATGCCTCCGGGCTCAGGCCTCCGGGTTGAGGCCTCCGGGCTGAGACCTTCGGGCTGATGCCTCTGGGTTGAGGCCTCTGGGCTGATGCATCCGGGCTGATGTCTCTGGGCTGATGCCTCTGGGCTGATGCTTCCGGGCTGATGCCTCTGGGCTGAGGCCTCCCAGCAAGCACAAAACGTATTGGAAACGTTCAACAAAGTTTCATCAGGTTGTTGGTAAAAATATGTGTCATGTGTGGTTCAACAGACACATATGAGCAACCTTTAACCAAAGAATGGTAAAAGTATTTCTTTATTTAATATAACTAGTTCTGCCTTTTTTTTTACACTAGTTTCCCTTTTATTTATTAAAAAAATATTTTGTTCATGTTTAAATATTAATTTTATGTACATTTTACATATACAATGTGAATGATGTGTCTTAGTTTTATGATAGGTGTGCGAAACATTTACTTTTATTTTTTTTATTATGATTTTTTCTTAAAATTGTTTTCATAATCCTGTTGCTAAATGCTGTATTTAATAATACTGGTTTTAGGTTTAAATTATATTTATGTATAATAAAAACAGAGTATATATTTATATATGACAATTAATGGTGTTTTCCTAAATGAAACAATGTAGGGCTTATTATTCTATACATATTTCTAATGATTCTGAGATGTTTATGAGGAGGAGGGGGAAGAGAGGAGGGGTAAGAGAAGGAGGATGAGGAGGAAGCTGATGAGGGAGAAGAAGGCAGAGGGTAAGAGAAAGGGGATGAGGAGGAAGGGGAAGAGGAGGGAGAAGAAGGGAGGGGGTAAGGGAAAGAGAAAGGGGTAAGGGTAAGAGAAGGGGGGATGTCGTGATGCTGAACCCCAATTCATTCCGAACACAGTGAATACACAACACATAACACCTTGCCTCAGCAACCGTTACTACCACCGTGTATTTCTACACACACCAGATCCTTGAGGCGTACCACTAGGTTTGTACTGGAACACAATGAATGAACATATGGAAGGTATTTAAACGTCTGGTTTTGTCATTTAATTACAAAAAATAGACTCTGACAAATAATAACATATTAACATACTCTATTAGGTAAATACACTTCCAATACCCATAGACCACTTGACCTCCGCGGTCACCACTTGCACTTGTAACTTCCGCATAAGTCCCTAATACGGAATGATTACTACAACGCTCCACACCCAGTTAGTCTTTCATTCAATACTCACATACTGCAGACTTAACTTGGTCACTAAGATCACATCAGGCTCTCGCATAGCTGTCTGCTACACTTCGCTGCTGCCACAAACGGAGACCTCGGAGGACTTGCCAGTTCCACTCCCACAACAAGACTATCTCCAGTCCGCCATGGCCTCAAACATTTCACCACGCCTCTCAAGGAAGGTATAATCCGATTAACCTTATCCCTAGAATCGGTAGCCTTGTTCCTAGAAGCCTGAGTCCTCTTTCCAGGAATTATTAGTTTGGCTAAGCAGCTGCGGTCTTAATCCCTTGACCTTTCTTGGATATGTGATCCATAGTCTGTCTACTTAACATGTACTTCCAATCATCATTCGTTAAGTGTTGTAGTAATGATCCTCTAGCTAATAATCCCTACTAGCTTGTGGAAGACAGGGGTCTTAAGACCATGGCAAAACCGACAACTAATAGCCTACACCTAAGGACTTTTAACGCATTTGACGTATTAGAGGACGAGTGCCGTGTTGAACCTGTTATTCAACGAGGTGGCAAAGACAAAGTAACGAGGAGCATCGAAGCGCAGGTCCCTCAAACTGCTCGAGAGGAAAAGGGAGAATCGAAGCGAATTTTGGTTGTGGGAGATTCCCAGGTGAGGTATTTAGACAGAACGTTTTGTGCCAGAGATAGGGGGAACAGATTAAGGGTTTGCTATCCAGGAGCTGGAATTGGTGATATTGTTGGAAACATGAATGATATTATGACAGGAAATGGAAACAAACCCATTATTTGTATTAGTGCAGGGGGTAATGATGTTGGACGAGTTAGGAGTGAGGAACTAATACAGAGATTCAGGACAGCAATTGAATTAGTTAGGAGCAAGGGAGGAATCCCGATCATATGTGGCATTCTTCCAAGAAAGGAAGTAGGAAATGAATGGATATCGAGGGCACTTGGTGTCAATTGCCGGCTGGAAAGATATTGCAAATCAAATGCAATATCTTTCATAGACAACTGGGAACACTTCTATGGAAGAAATGAAATGTATGCTCGTGATGGGGTGCATCTATCGAGAGCTGGGGTTGTTGCTGTTGCGAAATCGTTGGAAGAAGTAGTTAGAGGTGTTTGTTTGGGTTTAAACTGTTAGTAGATAGAGGTATGGGAATTGATTTGGAAGAAGGAGGTAATAAAAGTATGTGTTTGTGGGAGAAAGGAATTGGCAAAATGATCAGGGAAAGAAAAGGGCCTCAAAATAACAATTCACTTAGGGTATATTACACTAACAGAAGAAGTCTAAGAAATAAAATTAACGAATTAAATGCTCTTGTCTGCACAGAAAAAATAGATATTATTGCACTTACCGAAACGTGGATGAATGTAGAAAATAGAGAACTATTAGCTGAATATCAAATAAATGGATTTAAACTATTTCACACAGATAGATATATTAGACGAGGAGGGGGAGTAGCCATATATGTTAGGGACAATTTGAAATGTAGTCTCAAAGAGGGAATCAAAACTGAGCCACACACAGAAACTATTTGGATAGAATTATACGAAAAAGCAAATAATATTATAATAGGAGTTATATATAGGCCACCAAATTTAGACAGAATGGAAGCAAAGCATCTATGGGATGAAATATCTAGGGCATCTAGATCTAACAGTATTTACGTCATGGGTGACTTTAATTTTAGCGGAATAAACTGGTTGAACAAAACAGGGAATAGTGAAGCAGAAGATTTTCTAGAATTAATTGACGATTGCTTTCTTACGCAACACATTAAGGAACCAACATGGGAAAATAATATTTTAGATTTAGTGTTAACTAACAGGGAAACACAAATTAATGACATCGAAATAGGGAGTGAGCTAGGGAACAGTGATCACAAAGAAATCAGATTTAGCATAGAATGGAATAGACCTGTAGGAGAAAATTCTGTTAAAGTGCCAGATTTTCGAAAAGCTGATTTTAATAGCCTTAGAAATTTTTTGGGTCAAATTGATTGGAAAGTCTTGGGTATGGGGTGGGGGCCGGTCTTGGAGCGAGACATGAACCCAGCGATAGGTGACGTAAATGGGGATTTCGATGTGGATTCAATATATAACTTATTTAAGAATATTCTAAACAAAGCACAGGAACGTAGTATACCATACAAATTGAATAGATCGAATGCCAATGACCCAAAGTGGATAACAAAGAATATGAAGAACCTTATAGGTAAAAAGAGAGCTTGGTACAAAAGGATTAAAAATGGGGAGGTCACTTTAGAACAGGAATTCGTACAACTGGTTAGAAATGTTAAAAAAAGAGATAAGGAAAGCAAAAAGAAACTATGAAGTTCGCATAGCAGGGCAAGCAAAGACAAATCCTAAAGGTTTTTTTCAGTTATATCGTACTAAGACTAGGGAAAGGATAGGTCCATTAAAAACTGAGACAGGTCAAATAACAGATAGTGATGAAGAGATGAGTAGTATTTTTAATAAATATTTTGTATCTGTATTTACTAAAGAGGAACGTATCAATATGCCTTCAGCCGAACAAGTCTATGTGGGTGGGGACGAGGACAGGTTGACGAGTTTAACAGTTACCAGAGAGGATGTTCTTAAACAAATAGTAAAACTCAAACCAAACAAATCCCCAGGGCCGGATGAAGTGTTTGCCAGGGTGCTTAAAGAATGCAAAGAGGAGCTTTGTGACCCACTGTCAACCATATTTAATAAATCAATAGAGTCAGGCAGAGTGCCAGAGTTTTGGAAAGTTGCTAATGTGATACCAGTTTTTAAGAAAGGAGATAGATCACTTGCGTCTAACTATCGACCAATTAGCCTAACGTCTATTGTGGGAAAGTTACTCGAATCTATAATAGCAAATAAAATTCGTCTTCATCTTGAAAAACATAAATTAATAATTGAGTCACAACATGGTTTTATAAATGGCCGTTCATGTTTAACAAATTTGTTATCTTTTTATTCTAGCATTGTTGAGGCAGTTGATAGTGGTAAGGATTGCGATGTTGTGTACCTTGACTTTAGCAAAGCTTTTGATACAGTGCCACATGAAAGACTGATTAAAAAGTTAGAGTCTCATGGTATTGGGGGTGCTATATTAAGCTGGATTAGGGCATGGCTATACCAAAGGAAACAGAGAGTTAGTATAAATGGAGTCAAGTCAGAGTGGGAAAATGTTGTAAGTGGGGTGCCTCAGGGCTCTGTCCTGGGACCTCTGTTGTTTATAATATATATAAATGATTTAGATTCAGGTTTGAGTAGCAACATTTGCAAATTTGCCGATGATACAAAAATCGGTAGGGAAATTAATTCGGAGGAGGACTCACTATCACTTCAAGTTGATCTAGATAGGGTTTTGAAATGGTCGAAGGATTGGCAGATGCAGTTTAATGCTGATAAATGTAAAGTTCTGAGGTTAGGCAATGATGATAGGGTTACAAGATACGAGCTAGATGGTGTTGAGATTGCGAAGTCGAATTGCGAAAGGGATCTGGGAGTTATGATTAGTAAGAATTTAAAACAAAAGGATCAATGCATAAATGTTCGTAATAAGGCAAATCGGACACTTGGATTTATTAATCGCAGTGTTAGTAACAAGACACCTGGTGTGGTTCTCAAGCTATATCTTGCTCTAGTTAGGCCCCATTTAGATTATGCAGTTCAGTTTTGGTCGCCATATTATAGAATGGATATAAATTCACTTGAACGCGTCCAGCGTAGGATGACTAAGTTAATTCCCCAAATTAGAAATCTTTCATATGAAGAAAGATTAACAAAGCTTAAGTTGCATTCACTGGAAAGGCGAAGAGTTAGGGGTGACATGATAGAGGTTTACAAGTGGGTGAATGGACATAACAAAGGGGATATTAATAGGGTATTAAAAGTATCAACACAAGACAGAACACGAAACAATGGGTATAAATTGGATAAGTTTAGATTTAGGAAAGACTTGGGTAAATACTGGTTCAGTAACAGGGTTGTTGATTTGTGGAACCAATTGCCGCGTAACATTGTGGAGGTGGGGTCCCTCGATTGTTTCAAGCATGGGTTGGACATGTATATGAGTGGGATTGGGTGGTTATAAATAGGAGCTGCCTCGTATGGGCCAACAGGCCTTCTGCAGTTGCCTTTGTTCTTATGTTCTTATGATTACAACAGGGGATGAGGAGGAAAGGGAAGAGGAGGGGGAGAGGGGAGGGGATGAGGAGGGGGGAGGGGTAAGGAGGGGAGAGGGTTAAGAGAAGGGTGGATGCAGAGGTGGAGGGGGAAGAGAGAAGAGGTAAGAGAAGGAGGTTGAGGAGGAAGGGGAAGAGGAGGGAAAGAAGGGAGGGGTAAGAGAAGGGGAAGAGAAGGGGATGAGGAGGAAGGGAAAGAGGAGGGGGAGATGGGAGGGGGTAAGAGAAGGGGATGAGGAGGGAGGAGAAGAAGGGAGGGGGTAAGAGAAAGGGAAAGAGAAGGGGGTAGGGGTAAGAGAATGGGGATGAGGAGGGGGAGGGGTAAGAGAAGGAGAGATGAGGAGGAAGGGGAAGAGGAGGGAAAGAAGGGAGAGGTAAGAGAAGGGGGATGAGGAGGAAGGGGAAAAGGAGGGGGTTGAAAAGGGAGGGGGAAGATAGGGAGGGAGTGTAACGGGATCTGTGTGACGGCTGGGGCATGTACTGTGTAAGCCTATAGAGTTAGTTGCCATGACGTGTTAGGACGCTGGATTATACAGGCATGGCTTAGTAGATATAATATGAGGTGTTCATCTTCATAAAATATAGCAAGAAAAATAAAGAATCGGATAATAATGTTTTAAATAACTTTATCTCTGATTTTACTTTTAAATTAAATTAATATTATAAAGTCAACACTGCAGGTTGGTGGGGCAGCGACAGTTGGCGTGAGGGTCCCAAACAGGCGAGGCTCAGTACCCAGCTGACCATCACTCCGGTGGTACAGTGATTGTACCCGCGCATAGTGACACCTTCACCCCCCCCCCCTCCCCGTGCTCTTCCCCCTCCCCTCTTCCCCTTCCCCTTCCCCTGCCCTCTTCCCCTTCCTCCTCATCCCCCTCCTTTCCCCTTCCTCCTCTTCCCCCTCCTTTCCCCTTCCTCCTCATTTCCCTTCTCTTACCCTCTCTCCTCATCCCCTTCTCTTACCCCTCCCATCTCCTCTTCCCCTTCTCTTACCCCTCCCGTCTCCTCTTCCCCTTCTTCTTCATCCCCTTCCCTTACCCTCTCCTCTTCCCCTTCTTCTCCATCCCCTTCCCTTACCCTCTCCTCTTCCCCTTCCTCCTCATCCCCCTTCTCTTACCCCTCCCTTCCTCCCCCCCCTCTTCCCCCTCCTCATCCACATTATCTTACCTCTCCCCCTCCTTACTCCCCCTTCTATTACCCCTCCCACCAACTCATCACCCTTCTCTTACCCCTCTTCTTCCCCTTCCTCCTCATCCCATTTCTCTTACCCCTCCACTCTTCCCTTTCCTCTTCATTCCCCTTCCCTTACCCCTCCCTTCTTCTTCCACTTCCTCCTCATCCCATTTCTCTTCCCCCTCCTCTTCCCTTTCCTCTTCATTCCCCTTCTCTTACCCCTTACCCCTTCCCTCTTCCCCCTCCTCTTCCCTTTCCTTCTCTTACCCCTCCCCCTCGTCTTCCCCTTCCTCCTCATCCCATTTCCCTTACCCCTCCACTCTTTTCCCTCCTTTTCCCCTTCCTACTCCTTCCCCTTCTCATACCCCTCCCCTCCTCTTCCCCTTCCTCCTCATTCCCCTTCTCTTACCGATCCTCTCTTGCTCCTTCTCTTCCCCTTCCTCCTCATCCCCCTTTTCTTACCCCTCCCCTCTTCCCCTTCCTCCTCATCGCCCTTCTCTTACCCCCTACCCTCTTCTTCCTCCTTTTCCCCTTTCTCCGCATCCCCCTTCTCTTACCCCTCCCCTCTTCCCCTTCCTCCTCATCCCCCTTCACTCACCTACGGGTTGAAGCCTCCGGGATGATGCCGCCGGGCTGATGCCTCTGGGCTGAGGCCTGCGGGCTGAGGCCTCCTGGCTGAGGCCTCCGGGCTTATGCCTCTAGGCTGATGTCTCCGGACTGAGTCCTCTCAGCTGAGGCCTCCGGGCTGAAGCCTCCGGGCTGATTACTCTGGGCTGATGCCTCCAGGCTGAGGCCTCCGGGCTGAGGCCTCCGGGTTGAGCTCTCCGGGCTGAGGCCTCCGGGCTGAGGCCTCCGGGTTGAGCTCTCCGGGCTGATGCCTCCAGGCTGGTGCCTCCAGGCTGATGCCTCCAGGCTGAGGCCTCTGGGCTAATGCCTCCAGGCTGAGGCCTCGGGGCTGAAGCCTCCAGGCTCAGGCCTCCGGGCTGGTGCCTCCAGACTGATGCCTCCAGGCTGATGCCTCCCTGTTCTTGCTCATACTTACGGGTGGACGCTTCTGGATTAATTTCTATGGAGTGACAATTCTTGGCTGACGTATCTGACCTGCGAGGTGATGCGTATAGGCTGACATCCACAGGTTGACGCCTACGTGCTGACACTTCCGAGTTGATTATTTCGAGCTGATACCTCATGGTTGATTCCTTTTGGCAGATGCCCCCGGCTTGATGCCTTCAAGCTGACACCTGTGGGATAATGATTCAGGGCTTGAACTTCACTGCTAGTAGTTCTGGGCTGGCGCCTCCAGCTTGATGCCTTTCGGCTGATGGGTCTGGGGTAAATGATGGCCTTTTGGCTGATGACGCGGAACAATTGATTGTGGATTGATGCCTTTTGGTTGATGCGTCCAAATGTTCGCCTCCATGCTGATGTCCCAGGGATCCTAACTCCGAGCTGATGCCTCTAGACAATCGCCCTCAGGCTGATGTCTTCCTGCGTCCGAGAGCATCCCAGACGCTGCCTTAATCGACTAAGAGGTTTGTGCCTCGGAGAGGCTGCAGGATCCAGTAAGTTCAGTAGAACTTCGGTTTCAACTCCTTTTGACCATGTCGTAGCTCAGTCGATTAAGGCAGCGTCTGGGATGCTCTTGGACACAGGTTCGAATCCTCGTCACGGCCCTTATGGATTTGTTCATTTGATGCATCACGCAATTGTGATTTCTGTGTGTAATGTTACAAGGGCATAGGACCCAACAAAACCCACACAAATGAGAGCACGACGCAGCACAACCTCTCTTATGTATTACCAGCCGAGCAGTGAGCTCGCGACGGCCGGGAGAGCGTGGAAGACATTTTATCCAACCCTACTTCATACCTGTCACTACTCTTTCAAATATCTGTATCTCAGCACATGACATTTGCAAGCAATAAATCTTAAAACATTCATATAAATAATACAGTATAGTGCAATACTTTTCCCAATAAAGTAACAAAGCATTCTGTCACACACAAGCGATAATGTATTTATATATTCAACGCTCCAACAACAGTTCATATCTACGAGACATGGCATCAGTGACTTGACCAGTATGCAAGGGGAAGGGGGTTAAGGGAGGATTCTAGAACTTTCTTGGTCAAGCTCTAATACACCATTAAACAATAAGACAAGTATAATATACACAACCTAAGCAACAATACTCTGCCTACATGTTCTCACAAGTATATCAAGGGGAGGGGGGGGTTATAATGAATCTTTGGTTATTGGAACCATCCTGATACTAGCTTACCGTCGAACAGAGACACCCCCCCCCAACCACTTCCTGGCAGAACAAACAGCCGACCTCAGCAGCCACACATCTGCTGCCGTCAGTCGACTAGCAATGGACACTGGAGTTCTTGCAGTTATTGAGGAGATCACCCTGGTAAGCGTCTGGTTCTGGGAGAGGGGATCATCAGCGTCACCCTTATTCAAGGGTACGGCTCACACTGACTAGTTGTCACTAGTACACACCCAAATCAAGTCACCAAGACTCCCCACACACTCCGCATTCAGAGATGACTTCTTGAATTCCCCTTTATGAGTTATCGTCCACAAACATCCAAATTATAGCCGTGTATGTCTCTCTCTCTCTCTCTCACTAGCCAGGAAGCTGCACCAAAACATGAACAAAGCCAGCTAACAAATATAACATTGAATACATAAGAACATACACAATATACATACGGGAAAAGTTATAAAACAATGCAACCTCTTAGGCTGCTACCAACTAATAACGCTCCAATATCACATTATGTATCCAAGCTATAACTGTATCAGGCTGCTGCTTATACGTCAGCTTACAACCTTCTGCATCCTTCACTGCATTAGGCTGCAATACATGGCACTTAAAATATTCACATAATTCCTACACTACAAAAATGCATCAATCGCTCACCTTGCACTGCGCCTTTCCTGCCAAAACGTAAACAGGCACTCCATTAAATATCAACGTGTCCATAAGATCCTCTGTTACATTACTCGAGATCCTCCTACTACAATCATTAATCTGGGTCCTCAAAATAGCACGTAAGGTACTCCTGCAGTTCCTCCAATCAGCTGCACATGAAGTCGTCCTTGAATGTCAGTAAACCTCCTCCACCGGCTTCACACAAAATACGTGTAGTTGTGTTCTATCTGTGGACTATTCTCCTTGAAGATTCACTATGTCCAGGGAGTTCCACTCCTCACTGGAAGTTCTACTCCATCTTGCAGTTTAGCTCCCACTATGAGTTTCGGCTCACACTTGGAGTTTAGTATACACTCCTCTGGTACAAAGTTCCTTCACTAACTTCTCCCACGCAAAACTTTGCAGTTCTACCACACAAACGTTGTAGTTCTCCCACACAAACTGCAGAATTCTTAGCTCGAGGGCGTTCAACTCCGGCCCTCCAAGATGACGTCCAACAAAGTTTCTTTAAAACTGCCTCACAGCTCTTCAGCTTCTGACTTGAGTACAGGGAGTCGCCCAGCAGGGTCCACAACAGAATCGCCTGCTCGCTTCCTTCCTCTTGAAGAAACAAACCAATTAGAGTTCCACAAAGAAGTGACCAACAATCACTTCCAGGTCGCCTCTAATATATCCAAATCGCAGAGAAATGGTGTATTAAGTCCCAAACAGCTTCCTCACACTTGCAAACAAGTAGCCTTCGCTCCACCACTAACACGGAACTATATTCTTCCTCCTTACAGGAGAATCAACGAAGTACGACCACCTCTGACGATTGACTTGACTCAAGTGAGGTCACGACGTCTTGCTAGCATCATGTCATGTCACCCAAAGTATCGACATCTCATTTTATGTCACTTATTTAAATGATCATCCTCTACTCGTATTCTTAAATTATTTGCTGACGTTCATTATATATTTAATACTAGCTGTACCCGCCACGCGTTGCTGTGGTTCAGTCTGGTTGAATGGAAAAGAAAGAAAAGAGAAAGCGCACGTTTCTAATATGTCTAATTTTAAAATTGCTTGTAGGTTTTCAATATTTTTTGCTGTTCGATTGTCTGTGGAGATATAGAGATTATCTGGTTTGCCAACTCTAGAACACACAACATATAATTGTCCCTGTGAAAAGTATTCCGTTTCTTGATATAAACTACACAATTCTAAGGATTCACCCTGAGCTTTTTTGATGGTGATTGCAAACGCCAATCGAATTGGAAATTACAATATCTTAAATTGAAATGGCATATCTGTTGGAATCATAGAAATGCGAGGAATGAAAATATATTCTCCTTTGAAAGGTCCTGTCAAGATTGTTGTCTCTGCGACATTTCTGATTATTTTTATTACTGCAAAGCTCGTGGCATTGCATACCTTTACCTGAATGATATTTCACAACATGATAATTGGCACGCAGATTTTCTATTGCCGTACGTTTGATGGTATCCCTGGCAGATCAAGTGAATTAAAAAAATTCTGTTGGATAACTAACAGCTTGATCTCATTCATCAACAGTGTCGACGGTCTTATATCGAGGAATTACAGGTAAGTTTACCTGAAATCTCCTGCAAGCAATATTAATGCGTTCCCAAATGGTCTGATGTTTCCAAGCAAATCTTGCAATGATCGATCAGGAGCCTCGAGCGATTTTTGTGGGCCATTGTGCATTCATCCTAAACAATATGTTTACATTTCTGCACGACTTTTCCCATGCCGAATGCTTTGGAAATGTTGCACGTGGGAGTTTCAATGAATTGCATGTTATCAACCTGTCCTCTTAAAAAGAACGTCGCTTTTGGCCGTTTGCCCGTATGGCCGAATTTGGACGTAATTTGAAAATGAAAAAAAAAATGAAAATAAATTTGGGATTTTTTTTTTCAACAACAGTAAGTTAAGGGTCCTCTGATAGGTTAGGTGGGCAGGAAATTCTCATAAAGTTTCAAAACGTTATGAAAAACGTTAATTTAAAGTGTCCTCGTATTACCTCTGCGAGTTAGCCAGACGACTCAAATAGAAAAGGGAACAGAACGTCACTTTTGTGAGTCGATTTCATTTCAAACTACGTCCAAATTTCGCCATAGCGCGCATACGAGCGAAAAGTGACGTTATTTTTAAGAGGACAGGTTGGTTCAATCAATGGCAATTTCAAAGCCGAAGTAGCAGTTTTTCCACCTGGTAACAATGTCTTAGCTATTTCGGACGATGCAAGAGTTATGCCATTTTGGGATCGAAATGCTGCCAGAATCATCTAAATAGGAAGGATGATTTTGGCAGCATCTTTACAGTTCCTCCTGGCACATCTAAGAAGATTTCTCCAAACCCGTTATTGACAGTTTGAATTATTTGATTGTAAATGCCTTTTCGCTCAATCGTTAGCTTAGGAATATTTGATTGCACATACGACAACAGATCACCCGTGTTGTAATTTTATTCACGACGCAATTTTACATCGAACGAAGCAGCAGCAGGTCGATTCGGTGATGGCATTTACAATTGATTTAGAACCTTGCGATTTCTAACCACAAATCTTCAATCATTATCAATGCTTTGTTATAGTTTTCTGCTGTGAAATCCATGTTTATATTTGAATTTTCCTTCGTATTCGACGGACAATATCTTCAGCAATGAAGATTTATATTTCTCCCATAACTCTTTTGGAGATGAAGGAGAGACGGTGGTCAATGTGATTGCAAACAATGCACGAATTTGATTTGGATGTGGCGTGTTGGACGTGTCATTAATGCATACATCCTAATGTCGGTGGTTCTTCAATAAATTCACAGATTGACATGCACTAAGGAAAGTGGCATTTCTAACGCCATTGACAAATCTAAATGGCTACAAAGACTTTGGACTGGGCAAATTTACCAACAGTATGCGAAGAAATAAGCATTCATCTTGATTTGGATGCATAGTGAACAGTCTGCCTATCGTAGTTTATTTGAATATGCCAGGTTATTCGTCGACTCGCTCTTCTCGTTTACGTCGTTCAAATTATTTTCTACTGGCATTCCATGTGTAATACGTAGGGACTTCCAAATTCAGCAGTGTTACCGCAACCGCGTCATTTTGACAACGTGAAGAAAACAGTTAACGTTGTTGCCGGTGGATTCATAGCTGTTTGTTGCACATTTGCAGCTGTGAAATAAACGTGTTGTCCATTTTCTTGTTTTCCAAACAAAAACAAAAAATACTAACGAAATATTTAAA